GGGGTGGTCGAACCATAGAATTTCCCTCACGAATTGAATCCATTATCACAAATCAAACAAGATCTCGTTCTAAAAGAATATATTTTTTTTAAAAAGATAGAATGACCTGCTCTGATACCAATTGAAAAATCTAGAAATTCCCTAGATGTTGATTTGTGATCATGTATCAATTTTAAGCAGTATATAATAATCCCAATCAAACAATCAAGACAAATCGACACAATGATTTTACGTAGAAAAACCACAATTGGACACTTCCAATTGTGATAAAAAAACCACGGGCAATAGCCACAAAACAATCCACTAAGAAGATATACATGAATTATACAAGTATACTCTCAATTAACTAGCGAATCCACGCCCGAATTGAACCAACCTCTATGTGCCTCTTCCAACCCCGTCTTCACCTCGGAATTGTCTTGACGACGAGCCACTCCGAAATCCACCAAAGCTTCAGGCTCAAATTCTTCAGAATCCACCGAAGAACAACTCTCTCTCTTTTGTGTAGAATAAACAAACAAACCTTTGATGTATGCTTCTTAAACCATGAGTTGAATACTCAATGAAAACATCAAAGAAAACTAGCAAAATATCCCCAGATATAAACCTTAGAATCCAAAAAGAAGATCTGGAGGACTTATCCAAGTTTTGGGAGAAACCCAACTACTTATAGAAACCAAAAGTAATCCTAGTTTTGGAAGAAAACCAATTCCTTATAGAAATCCAAGAATCTGTGTTCGTGCGGTCCGCTCAAGCGTGAGACTTCCCGCTCGAGCGGAGGCTTCAAAATTGTGTGATTCATATAGGCTTCATGCTCGAGCAGAAGTTTCCATGCTGGAGCATGGAATCACACCATCCAGTACTTTTTCAGGCGAAGCAGAGATGCTGTGGGCTTGCAATCCCCGCTCGAGCGTCACTTTCCCCGCTCGAGCAAGACGACCAAAATTGGAAAATCTGGAAAACTTGATCCTATTACAACCTCAGTTTTGATCCACGGAAATTGACAAAGGCACGATTCGGGCTGGGTTCACACCTAATAAACTCATACCCTCACTAAAATAAAAGGTGCGAAAACAAATACAACTGAAAGGAGTTTTGTCAAACGGGGTTGCCAAGAATAAAACCTAACAAGAATGAATAATCTAATTAGTGAATTCAGAATGAAATATGTGAAGTGATTGACGTATGGGTGTGAAATGGGTCTAAGGCCGTTCAAAATATTCAATAAAGATGTGGATTGGGCCTAAGGCCATTCTGTATACTTATTAAATGGGCCGAAGGCCGTTCAGGATAAGGAAAAGAAATGGACCTAAGGTCGTTTTGGATATAAGAATGGATATGACCATGGATTTAAATGTGTGCACACAACAAATGTATATACGTAAATTTGACCTAAGGTCGTTCTATGTGTAAGTTGGACCCAAGGTCGTTTTGTATGCTACATGGACCCAAGGTCGTTTCGTGTTTGAGAAATGATAGAAAGGACCTGAGGTCGTTCTGTTTTATTATTGATTTCCAAGCGTAATAGTGAATTATGATTGTAAAAATTTTGTTCATGAACTCCTTTGCCTTGATATTATTCATTGGGCGGTAGCTCACCCCCTTATTTATATATATGTAGGTGAGTAGCGGGATGTCCAGCCTCAACCCCAGTGAGCAATGAGAACCAAGTTTTGAGGAGTCAACCAAGGTCACCTCACGCAAGAGGCCTTACTTTTGCTTTACTTGTCTTTTTGTTCTTTTGAGGTCACATATGACTAATTCTATACAACCTTGGTTTTGTTAATACTGACTATTGAATGATGTTGGCACTGCTGGGAAAATGACTTTTAGCGGCGTTTATGTTTGGAAAACGCCGCTAATTTATTTAGTGACGCTTACCACCAAACGCCGAGGACGCGGCCGTCGCTGTAAGTTTATGACGTTTTAAAAATGCCGTAAAATTAGTATATGCGGCGTTATAAAAACGCCGCTAAATGTGGCAGCCAACGGTACTATGATGTCACACAGGCATTCAGCGACGCTTCAAAAACGTCATAATAGCTTTTTTATTATTTTAAAAATATAACTATAGTGGCATTTTGAAAAACGCCGCAATAGATTTTTTTTTTTAAACTACTAATTTTGTGAGATTTAATTTTAAAAATATACCTGTAAAATAGCAATAATGAATAAAACTTTGTATAGACATATATTTCTGTGAGATTACTATTCCCTCATGTCTATAATAGTACCCAATACAACATCCTTCAAGAAAAAAATCCAATAAGTTCAATCCCAAAAAACCAAGCAGCCATCTCATGCATAGTTTCACATCATCCAACAACAATCTAAGATTATTATTATTAATAAATCAATAAAATTTAGTAACTACAAAATTTAGTATAAAGTATAATTTTACAGGTATAAATCAATAAAATCTTATAATGAGGGAGCTTTGACACTCTCATAGATTAACTCCCATGGCACAAGTGATAATGGTCAATTAAATTATTTTTTTCCTTTTCAAAATAAACAAAGAAATCAAAATGAAACAGTGAACAGAGTTATAAATTTATATATTTGACCAATCAAACATACAGTATATATCCCAATCATCTTACAACACTACACTCAACATACATATGTGGGAACACCATTAAACAGACTCATACACAACCAAATAGAGATTAGAATTCAAACACAGTTTCTAAAACACAAAGCAAACAGAAACCTATAACATGTTCTGATAGAACCAAATATAAACTAGGTACTTCCATGACTCTGACCACCACTTGAAACCCAATCCAGGCCCTTACTTTAAAAGTTCACAGCGAAGTGTCTCCTACCATAGCGCACCAAAAATGTTAAAGCTTTGCCTATGATCGGGGGAAAAAAAAAAAGAAATGAGAACCAATAATTTACAGAGGACTTACGGGTTTCGTTTCGTCTCAACCGTAGCCTGAAAATGTGCAGTGTTCTCCCTGAGCCTTGCAATTTCTTGTTGCATGCGTAAAACTTCAGTGCTGAATTGCTGTAGAATCCACAAAAACAAAATGCAAAGTGAGAACGATTATAGAGCAGGTGATAGACATTCAGCAAGGTAAGACCCTTTATTAATTAAAATTAAGGTTCTAAAAGTTCAGCCACTTTTACTGACTAAAATAACAGAATCAAGATCCTTACCATTTCCCTATTTCAATAATTAGAACTTCTCAAGCTGTAGAGAACGTTGATATTTTACATCTATCTATAAAACAAGGTAAGGTGTATATATATATATATATATATTTGAAGTGCTAAGTTTTGACAAGTAACAAAGAATCTTAGATCTCATACAATTCAAATTCAGAGAGTTCCAAGTAAATTCAATATATAATTTTCAACATACACTTTGTTGTTTATGTTACCTCATAAATGGACAAAATTGTATTGGTTACTGGCATTAAATATCACAATCACATCTAAAACCATTGCCTCCAGGACTTGGTGATATTACATATCACAATTACACAACACCACCAATAGCATGATGCTGCCCAAAGGAACCAAGACATGCTTACTAGAATAACTAAACACTATCTAAACCAAGACATTGAGATATTGCTAACCATAACTACTATTGGTCAAACTATGGGTTTTCTATATAAACTCAGCTTATCATCCTAATTGACAAAGTTGGAATTGATTCTATTAGTTGCATATGCCATTCCTTTCTCACACACTGACAGCAGGATGTTACCTCTGTAGAGAAAGATTATTTCCAAGGGGCTCTGTGTATATGAGTAAATTGATGATAGTACTTAACCCGTAAGGTCTACTTTAAATACACAAAGGTTTCCCATGTGAGTTTGCAATGAACAAAGCAATCATTATAACAACTGGAGTGATCAACTGTTGCAAAAACATAAATGAATTATGTTGTTTCCATGGTTAAATACGTTCACTAGTTCACCCAACCAGATAAGCATCGACTACATGAATATCAATCAAATGATCAAATGATAAACTAAAAGACTAATTGACCATAAAAGTTCAGTCTAAGATTAAGCTGTGAGTTTGCTCCTCTGATACATAACCACACTTATGCCAAGTAAAAAGAAGAAGATCACTGGTTGAATTTGCCATGTAAGAAGGCAAGTAAACCCTATGTCAAAACTTGATAGGCACTAAAGAAACAACCAAGCTAACACCAACTATTTAAGCAAGGATGAGAAAAATAGCTAAATCATAGTATAAAATTTAAACTACTTTAAATAAGATTGTGCCCTTAGGGGCCCATGTCTCACACTTACAATAGAGAGCTGACTTCCAGATTCATCTTTCGATACAATACTAGCGGTCCAATCATTGAGCTTCTCCGAAAGAGAAGAAAACTTTTGTTTTGGGACATATAACCGTAGTCTCATTGGAGATAGTTTTATAGATAAGTGCTTTTGAAGCTCCCGAATAACATCTAGCGACTGTAAAAGACAAACAGTTAGCTGGAGTACATAATGTTTAAAGCAATCAGCTTCTACAAAAAATCATATGTCAGCAGTGTGTAAATTGGGAGATGACCATTCCTTTCAAGATACATGAAATCATCAATTTTACAAATAACAATAAGTCGCAGCAATAAAATTGCAACAGGAATGGAATGACAGATTGGAACTTGCTAAGAGAGCATTTGCTAGAGGAAAGTGAACTTCTTTTTCATTTTTTCTTTTTTATTTAAGCAAAGAATTAAACAAAATTTCAAATGTGAATAGCACAATTAATTGAATTTCCTAACAATTTGAGAGTACTTAACACAGATCAATGCATAGTAGAAAATTCGTTAAAACTCAGAAAACCATAAATCTCTTGTCAATCTACAACCAAACAAATGAACTCACCTATTTTTTTGAGCTACTATGGGGATCAACCGCAAAATGAATTTCATGCATCAGACGCTCAATCATGCCAATAGTATAAGGGCGTTGAGTCTCAGGGTTAATAGTCTTCTGCATAACTGTGGTAGCAATATCCCGAAACTGACTCATGCTAATAGTATAAGGGCGTTGAGTCTCAGGGTTAATAGTCTTCTGCATAACTATGGTAGCAATATCCCGAAACTAACTCGATAATTGAGAATCCCTTTCCTTTCCAGCAACTTGTAGCTCTCCTTTGTCCAAAATCTATTCCAAATTGAGGTACATCAGTTAACCACCACTTTTTTTCAACAAATAATAATAATAAATTTACTTAAAGAACTTGTCAAGTTAACCCACACAAGCCACTGCCACAGAATAGTCTATCACACAGTGACATATTCCAAATGTAAGTAACAAAGCTTAAAACTGACCTCCAAGCATATATTTGTCTGATCATCTGTCCCAAAAGCTGCTACTAAATCTTTTGACTTGGCAAGAACCCCCTTCGAAACATTTGAATAAACAGTTTGTGACTGCAATACTTCATCCAAGTCCTTCTCTCTATTTCAAAATTTTAAGATATTAGCATTTTAGTAATTATATATCCAGAAAGAATGGGAAAGAGAAGAGGAAGAGGAGATCAGGTCCTTGATTCCTTGAACACATCATAAAAGAACGTAGAAGACAGAGGCAAGCATCCAGGGAATTGGAGCTACAAAACCATAAAAGAAATTAAACGACTTGAAGGGAAGTCATTCAAGAAACTTGAATCACCTGTGTGAAAAGCTCTTGGACGATTATCACAAAATAAAAGATCTCCTCTATCTACACAGATTGACCAAAGATCATTGTTTTATTTGTCGTTTTATTATTATTATTATTGTTATTATTATTTTACCTTATTTAATACATAAAAAAATTCCACATGATAAAAAAATCCATAGGTAATTTACCTGAGTATCCAAGCCATTAGAAAAAACATGGCAGGAACAATGTTACACATGGCAGTGGCAAAAGTAGCTGTTGTGTACTTCATTCCAGTATAGAACAAGTTCTGGTCTATCACAGGCCTAATTACACAAAAATAAGAGTAAAAACATTACATACATGCATTAGATTCACCTTTAAAGCATAATTAAATTAATTTATAAGGATTTTCTTTTTGAGGTGAAAAGATAAATTAATTACTCCAACAAGCCCAGTAACATTATCTTCAAGAAGACAGAAGTGGTCATCCTTGGCCTTACTTTCCTGTACATTTGTTATAGTCAATAACATAGTCTGATTAGTTTAAAACCTTCTCTCATAGAGCAAAGAACAGAGAGAGAGAGAGAGAGAGAGAGAGAGAGAGAGGGGGGAGGGGAATACCTTTCAAAGAGGAGAGCAAAAGGAGCAAAGACAAGAGCGGCGACAACATTCCGGTAGACAGCGAAGGAGTAAAGGCTCATCCCTTGGTTTAGACCAAACTTGGCTATAATACCTAAACCCACATACCCAAACTGCAACAAAATCATTGCCAAGTATGGCTTTGCTCTCTTATACACCTCCATTGACATATTGCTCTCTCTCTCTCTCTCTCTC